CTGATGATCGGTGCCGATCCCCGCTCTGACAACTGCCGGTTCTCGGCAGTACTTTCCTCACGATCTGACAGCGTGAGGAAAGTGCAGCCGAGAACCGGCACTTGCATTTCCCTCTGATCAGCGTGTCATTGGACACCGCTGATCACGTGCTAAAAGGCCGCTGTGATTGGCCTTTTACCACATCACGTGATCAGCTGTGTCCGTAGGACACAGCGATCACGGAGATCGCCGGGGGCGCGCAGGAGAGCGCGTTCTGGGAGGACGTCATATGACGTCCACCCAGAACTGGCCGGCCGCAGTGCAGCCGTCATTCGGCTATCTGCGGTCGGCAGGTAGTTAATAGGAACACATAACACAAGTGTAGTTCCACATTTTGACTGCAAAAGGTGGAACTAAATTTTACACTGCCTGCCTTCCTCTGTGCTAGAATGTAGAAAGTCCATATTAATTTGTCCCCTTCATTAAATAAAATATGATGAGTTCCAATCCATTAACATATTTCATAGTACACACTGTAAATTTTCAACTGCATGAAGGCCTCATTGAATCTGATAATGTCCTCATTCATGCGGAACAGGAAAAGTGCGGAAAACAGCAATCACATTGAAAAAAATCTTAAGGGATAATATTTTTTTGTCGCTTTTTCTGTGGAAGTTCCAAAAAGACCCATCCCAGTGATGTACATTTTCAACTGTAAGAGATCTGAGAAATCCATGAAAGGAAAACTAGTGTGGATAAAACTGAACAAGTTAAACATTCTGCCCACCCAAAACTGAGTTTTCATTTTTTTATTTTTACAGATGCTGGATAGAATAGATTTACAGTCCATGGATTCTACTAATGATATCTACCAGCATGTTTTTAGGTACACACACCTAGCTTGGTAATTGTAAAGGAAATGTGTAAATTCTGTATAAAATTGTATTTTATTTTTTGTAATTTGCCTATGTATAGCACACTGCACTCATTGTGCACACAGCACTAATAATGTTTTGATTACGTTTGCATTCCTTCAAATCCTGATTAGAAATTAGTCTGCCTATGTAACACCCCTTGTTACCATACAAGTACAATTGTAATATTATTGTGATACCTACATAGCCATGTATATAAAAATAACTTCAAATGTGCCAAATAAACAGGACAGTGATTTGGAAAGATGTTGAGTGTATCTTTTTGTGTCTGTTCCCTACTGCAGTAGTTATTAATTTGGAACCACTAATCAGTATGATAGGAGTTGATCTACAAAATTTTCATTATTAATGTCCAGAAAAGATCGCGAGCCAGCTAGAAGGGGATTTACAGATAACCCTGAAAATACAAAAAGAGGAGCCAAAAAGAAGGGGATGACCAGAGACTGCGGACACAGTACAGGGGATGACCAGAGACTGCGGACACAGTACAGGGGATGACCAGAGACTGCGGACACAGTACAGGGGATGACCAGAGACTGCGGACACAGTACAGGGGATGACCAGAGACTGCGGACACAGTACAGGGGATGACCAGAGACTGCGGACACAGTACAGGGGATGACCAGAGACTGCGGACACAGTACAGGGGATGACCAGAGACTGCGGACACAGTACAGGGGATGACCAGAGACTGCGGACACAGTACAGGGGATGACCAGAGACTGCGGACACAGTACAGGGGATGACCAGAGACTGCGGACACAGTACAGGAGATGACCAGAGACTGCGGACACAGTACAGGAGATGACCAGAGACTGCGGACACAGTACAGGATGACCAGAGACTGCGACATAGTACAGGAGATGACCAAGACTGCGGACATAGTACAGGAGATGACCAGACTGCAGACAGTAGGGGATGACCAGAGACTGCAGACAGTACAGGGGATGACTGCGGACAAAGTACAGATGACAGACAGTACAGGGATGACCAGAGACTGCAGACAGTACAGGGGATGACCAGAGACTGCAGACAGTACAGGGGATGACCAGAGACTGCAGACAGTACAGGGGATGACCAGAGACTGCAGACAGTACAGGGGATGACCAGAGACTGCATACAGGGGATGACCAGAGACTGCAGACAGTACAGGGGATGACAAGAGTACAGGGGATGACCAGAGATGCGGACATAGTATAGTGACAGGAGAGACCAGAGACTGCAGACATAGTACAGGAGATGACCAAGAGACTGCAGACAGTACAGGGGATGACCAAGAGACTGCAGACAGTACAGGGGATGACCAAGAGACTGCAGACAGTACAGGGGATGACCAAGAGACTGCAGACAGTACAGGGGATGACCAAGAGACTGCAGACAGTACAGGGGATGACCAAGAGACTGCAGACAGTACAGGGGATGACCAAGAGACTGCAGACAGTACAGGGGATGACCAAGAGACTGCAGACAGTACAGGGGATGACCAGAGACTGTGGACCTTTGGGGAGGGAGGGAGGGGGAGCAGGTACCCGCTCCCACTTCCGTGAAGTTGTCTTCCCTTTAGTGTGGGCACATGCAGGTCCCAGAAGACGCCAGGCCATTCACAAAGTGCAGTGCTTCTCGCACATGCGCAGTGGGCACCCAGCTGTCACAGCCGGGTGCCCACACTAAAGATGCCGGCGCGGGAAGACTGTACAGCGCTGGACAAAGGAACAGGTAAGGTCCTGCTGCAGAGAAGCGCTAAGCGGCCGGCCCGGTATTCTGACACGGTGTCGGTGGCCGCTCCATAAGATGCACTGACATTTTCCCCCCTTTTTTGGGGGGAAAAAAGTGCGTCTTATGGAGTGAAAAATACACTACTTCAGTCCCATAGGAAGTACCAGTACATTCTTGGGTTGAAGTGGCCAGTATGGTCAGTGGTCATAGTGGTACCAGGATCATGACTGCTCCCTGGCCATGATCCCAGTAGCAAAATTTTCAGCTGGCGAATGGACTTTCTTGTAGAAGTGATCAGAGCAGCTCCACAGCCGCTAGGTCACTTCTACAAGGTGCGAAAGGGGGCAGACACTGAAGAGCAGAAGCAGAGATGTCTTATCTGTTATACTATGCTAAGAAAAAATTTTGTGTAAACGGCTCCCCCACTACTGCTTTGTCCAACTGGGAGTCCATGATCAATGCTGCCTTGCCAATGTACAAGTTGACGTATCTTAATCGTGGTTGCCCTTGGAAGTATGACAAGGTCTGGTTTCCCTGGATGTCTCAGTAGGTGGTTTTCTTATATGTGATTGGGTTTCTTCCTTGGGCGGGTGTTACAGGGAGTCATACTCTTCTCCTTCCTCTTCCCACCCTTTCTGCCACTGATTTCTTCACCTTTCCTACTTCCCTCCCCTTATCCCCTGCCTCCACCTGGGTCCTACGATCTTTCTGGTACAGTGGTCTATTTTTCATCTGGGGAGTGTATAATTCCTGTAGAATTCATATTGTTTCATTTTATTTCCATCACTGCTGTGACTTGTGGAACCGTGTATTGTTTGTACTACTGATGCCTTTATACTTTGCCATGCCAAATCATAATTTTTTTTGGTAATTGTAATGTACTGCTGTTATACTTTTCTAATAAATGAATCCTGTCTGGGAGGAAAAAGAAATAAAAAAAAAATATCAGAAGACATTGTCAGTGGGGGAGCCCAGAAGAGGAGGTTCAGGGCTGCTCTACGCAATACCATTGCATAGAGCAGGTAACAGGTAAGTATAACGTTTGTTATAATAACAAAAACAAAAGCCTTTAGTTAAACTTTAAGAAGGGGAATGTTTATCCCCTTTGTGCTGACGTCACAAAAAAATATATGGCCTCACAGAACTGGGTTTTGTTCCGTAGGGCCGCTTATTTGCGTACCTGTCTTTGTGCTGGGAGCACATCCACTTTAACTCTATTTAACCATTTTGATTCTCCGACTCTACTACCAGGGCACATGTCAACGTTGCAAAATTGTGCTTAGGCTTTAAGATTTGTTTTACCCTTTGGCGTCTAGGGGTTAAATCTGTCTTTTTTTTTTTTTTCAAATATCCTTTATTAAATTTTCATTTTAAAATACAATACAAAACAACCGTATATCTTTTGTCACATCATATACATCCACTTTAACACCATTCCACTCCCCCCCCCCCCCCAAAAAAAACCCCTCCCCTCAAAATACAAAACCTCCTGTCCATTTCAATCTTACCATCGCTTTCCCCTCCTGTTAACCTATCCATATCTGTAAATCTATTTAACCATTTTGATTCTCGGACTCTACTACCAGGGCACCTCTCATTTTCAAATATTTTTCATGTTTTAAAATCATACCACCTACTTCACTCTTTTCTAAATTTTTACATTTTGTCTTCCTCCATATAACATAGATCCTCCATCCTATTAATATAATTAATTCTATCTATTCAGACCCTCACTGTTGGAGGGTCCTGGACCTGCCAAAATTTGGGGATTAAACTTTTTGCCGCACTAATCAGATGGTTTAGTATGCCATTTGTATATTGTTTTACTGACATCTCTGTTTTATAGAAAAGACACACCCACGGGTGCTTCTGAATAGATGTCCTTCAAATCTCCTGTATATATTGAATTATTTCTTGCCAAAATACCTGTATTTTTGGACAATCCCACCATATGTGAGCCATTGTCCCTACTGCCCCACATCCCCTCCAACATAATGGTGATATTTCTTCTTGCTGTTTGTGTGCCACACTCAGTGTACAATACCATCCAGACAAACATTTATAATTCATCTCAACTATATTCATGTTCATCACCCCGTGCATTAACTTAAACATTTTACTCTTCTGTTGATCATTTATTTTTGTACCCAATTCTCTTTCCCACTTCTCCAAGAAAGACAGGGGTCCAGCTCCCATCATTTCAGTTAAGATCTTATAAATCCTAGATATTATATGTTCACACACTATCTTGGAACTCAACAGAAACCTTTGTAATTTTTTAATGTTCTATGCATGTTTGCTGTGCCTGTCCTTTGATTTGCTGGCCAAGTCTGCTGAGATATGTAGCAAGCAGCTTAAAACAAATGGTACCTGGTTAATTTCCTCTTGTGTGGATTTTAATGACTTAATAATGGTCTCCAGTTGAACTTTGCCAGCCTGGATACTCTGCTCCAGTTGAGTTTCTTCCTGCTGTAATCTGTTAAGTTCCGATTTGGCTCTATTAAGCTCCTCCTCTTGTGCCTGCACATCCGACTCCTGGGACTGAATCTGTACTTTTAGAGAAGAAATCTACAAGACAGAAGCAGTAATTTGCAGCAATAAATTACAAATATACAAGAAAAATTTATAACATGATTATTTTGTCATAATTTCCCAATACATGAATGAAAGGTTACATATAAATAATGCTACCATTTGACCAGAAACTAAAGGTACATACATTTATGTGTGTCAATCTGGTTACCTTGGAGTTGCCTTCACTGATTTATGATGATGCAAAGCTGAGTAAATATCAGTACAAGATTTTACATACCTGTACTTTAGATTGCTGTGCTTCTCCATAACCTTTATCATGTCTGGTGCTTCCTATAATCCTTCTACTCATCTATACTGTTGTTAAATTTAGGATAACATAAATTTGGGTTATGATTTAACAATCTTACTGTCCTTAGCTATATCTACCTATACAGTACCTCAAGAAACCATGTCTTTTAGCTCTATAGCTGCTACTGGCAACCAATTTCCTGCACAGCTTCTCATTTTGTCCTCCTTTAGCTCACATGAATAGATCATTCTTAATCATGCCCACTTGCCCTCAAACGATGAAAAAAAGCAAAAACACTGCTTTATCAAAAGTTTGCCGCTAAAGCCCTGAGAAGTGGACAGTTGCAGCACATACTTCAAATTTGTATATGCTCCCTCTACCATATACTTGCTGTGCTGTCACTAGACAGCTTTCAGCCACTAAAAGGGTAGTAAAATCTGGTCAAACTAGAAAAAAAAGCACTCATTTTTTTACATCTTTTGTCTATAGACTGCATACACAAAATAAAAATACCCCCCCCCCCCCCCCAAAAAAGTACATATTAGTTATGTAACAACCCAAAATCTATTTTTCAATATCTTGGGCATTGTGACTAACAGTATTACTTTATTAAATCGATAATAGTAAAGTAATCTTCTAAACTGGTAAGCATCTACACATACCTTTAAATTTCTTTCCATGATGTTGGAATAATAAACAATGGTCAGAGGGGGCAACTTCAACTTCAGGAATTGGTTTTGGGGGTTAAAGGGATTACACCTCTAATGACCTACTTGACCTTTTAATGTCAGATGTACAGAAATAGGAATGATTTACTAAGTGGACTCACTCATGTCTGCACTGACCATTTCTGATATCTCTGATCACCCTAAATCTGCAGAACAACTGGATATTTAAGATATAACAAGGCCAGACATTACAATCTGAACTTTTGGTCTCGTTCACATCATACGTGCACAGGGGCGGACTGACAACTCATGGGGCCCCCGGGCAATAGGGGATCATGGGGCCCCTGTGTCCTTTCCCAAACTCAAAAAAGCCTATGAAAAAGGTACCAGGGGCATCTCATGGGGCCCCCTACTGACCCCAGGCCCTCGGGAAGTGCCCGAGTTTCCAAATGGTCAGTCCGCCCCTGTACGTGCAGAAAAACTGATGGAAACTGATGCAGAGATTTCTCTTGCAGAGACATCCGTTCACATCAGTTTTTTATGCGCATTTCAATGAGTTTTATAGACATTGCAAATTGCTGAGCAGAAAAAATCTGCATGTGATACTAGTGTTGTGGTGTAAATAGGGCACATAGAGAACAATTGATTACTTGTGCCCTTGAAGAACCTGTACAGAAAAACTGATGTCTCTGTACCATGGTGTGAACAAGCCCTTAGTATAGAAAATTATTCTGACAAAGAAAAACAAACTGTTGCATGATTATAATATACTGTTGTCTCTGCATAACAAATTTCTTTCATGGCAGCTAAAGTCACATAATTATGTGCTTCTGAAAAATCCCCTGAACCAGGGAAGGTTTAATACAGGTGGTGGACTTCTGTTAGGCGTACGTTCCTCTCATATTTCTGAAGCTACTACTTGCCACTTCTATCTCTTTTTCAAAACATATATTGGTGAATAAACTAAAACTCGTAAATAAAAAAGGGGGAACTGGTAACACACTGTACATATCCAGAGCAGAAAAAGAGTATTTTCTCCCTATATTTAACACGGGAAATTAATAGCTGCTGTTCTGTTTGATTACTGCCTATGATAGCTATTTTATGGCAGTTAGAAAGAAAAATGACACTGTCACACTGCCCCAATGCATTCTCTATAACCAGAAATAAACTGTCCAGTTGTAAAGAAGGGCAGAGTTGTTGTGGCCTTGTACAAGGGGAAGGAAATACAAATTTACTGTAAGGGAATCTTGCCTATGCAGTTCCAGAGAGACAAGAATCCAACATGTGATATAACAAACCCCAGCTGGACTTGAAGAAATGACAGAGAGCCTGTGAAAAGTACATCCTTACCATCTGCCCTTCCTCCTGGCACTTCTGCCTGACGTCACTCAGCATGTCTTTTAATTTAGCTTTCTGTTGGTCCATTTCATCTAGCCGATCTTGTGCATCTTGCTTTTGTGCTTCCAGTTCCTGTAATGTTGACGCTTCCCGGTCTAGATCATTCTGTAACTCCTAAAATGATACATATAAGTGCAGATTCTGTAATAATTCTGTACATTAATCAGTATTTCACACATTTACTAATTATTTCTTTACTTCAGTATAACAAACATGGAAAAACAAATAAACATGTAACGAAGAGTTTTCTTAGGCCAGCAACTCCAATCACCACACCTACCGCAGATGTACGCTTTTGGGAAACAACTAAATGTAGTGAGATAATTCAGGTCAACAAAGCATGGATTATTCTAAAGTTAATCACACAACTTATCTAGCAACAATACAAACCCATGAATATCTGTATCTAAATATAACATTTATAAAATATACAAAAAGGGAATTACAACACAGTAAGCATAATTTATTGCTTCTTCAAAGAATAATCCAGCAATTTAAAGCAACCCAGTCTTTTTTAACCACTTACTGGGCTACTTCTGACATTTCTCACATACATGTAACAAATCAAAATTTTTTTGCTAGAAAATCATTTAGAGCCCCCAAATATTCTTTTATTATTTCTTCAGCTGGTGATTGGCTAATTACTGCTGGATCGCATTTACAAGCAGCGGGAAAGCATAGAAGGTAGAGAATAGATCTAGAGTCTATTAGGCCCCAGATTTCTCAGAAAAGAGGACCTCTCACTGCCTATTGCTATCACAGGGGATATTTACATTCCCTGTGATAACAATAAAAGTGAAAAAAAAATCAAATGGGACAGTGTAAAAATAAAAAAATAATAACAATAAAAAAAAAATAGTCACAGCCCCCCCTTTCATGCTTGGCTGCAAAGGCAACCGCAAATATTGGTCCTGTGTCGGTATGTAAAAACAGAGATTGCAGCGTGCATGTGAGGTATCACCGCAAATGTCAGATCAAGGGCAGTAATTCTAACATTGGACCGCCTGTGTAAATCTAAATTAGTAACCTATAAAGGATTTTAAAGCGTTGCCTATGGTTATTAAAGATTTACGTAGATTGTGTGCGTGTGCAGTTTTAAAGCATGTCATGTTTTGTACCTACTTACTCAGTGTAACATCATCTTTTAAATGTTATCAAACAATTGGGCAATATATTGTGTTTTTGTGCAATAAATTAAAAAAAGTGTATTTTTTCCAAAATATTTGAGTTTGAAAAATTGCTGCGCAAATACTGTGTAACATAAAAAATTTCAGCACACACTGTTTTATTCTCTAGGGCCTCTGCTTTAAAAATATATAGAATGTTTGGGGGTTCAAAGTAATTTTCTACCAAAATAAAAACGGTTTCTCATATAAACAAAGTGTAAGAAAAGACTTGGGTCTTCATGTGGTTAGAAGAATGGGTGATGTGTGGACTAAGCTTCTAATGTTGGCCCTAAAATGCCAGGATAATAGAAGCACCCCCCCCCCAAATGACCCCTTTTTGGAAAGTAGAAACTCCAAATTATTTGATAAGGGGCATGCTGGGTATTTTGCAGATCTCATTTGTTGCCACAAGTTATTGGAAAATGAAGAAAGAAAATGTAAATGTTTCTTTGTCAAAACCCTGTGAAAAAAACGATATCGGCAAAATACTCACCATGTCTCTTATCAAACTCCTTGCGGTGTCTACCTTCCAAAAAGGGGTCATTTGGGAAGGTGTTTGTACTATGATGGTATTTCAGGGCCTCCAAAACTACAGTGATAATAGGTAGTGAGGAATTGACATAAGGAAATACAGTATTGCCCTTGGAAAGCCTAAAGGTGGTCACTGGATTTAGGGGGCCTGTATGAGGTTAAGCTGTCAAAAAGTCTCTCACATGTGGTATCCCCATACTCAGAGAAGTAACAATGCATTTGGGGTGTTATTCCACATATTCCCATGTCATGTGTGAGCAATATATAATTTAGGTGACAACTTTATGTAAAAAAAAAAAAAAAGTATCATTTTCATAAAATTTGTGGCAAAAAAATTAAATCTTCCATGGACTCAACATGCCTCTCAACAAATTCCTTGGGGTGTCTAATTTTCAAAAAAGGCAAATGGAAGGGGGGTGTTTGTACTGTCCTGGCATTTTAGCACCTCAAGAAATGTGATATGCAGTCAGAAAGTAAAAGCTGTATAAATTCCAATATGTATATACCATAGTTTGTAGAGACTATACCTTTCACACAAACCTATTAATATACACGTATTGGGATTTTATTTTTACCAAAGAAATGTAAAAGAATACATTTTGGCCTAAATTTATGACTAAATTTGAGTTTATTTTCGGTCTTTTTATGTTTATACCACAAAAAATAAAAACCCAGTGGTGATCAAATAGCACCAAAAGAAAGCTCTAGTTGAAAAAACACCTAAATTTCATTTGGGTACAGTATTGCATGACCACGCAATTACCTGCTGAAATAGCGCAGTGCCGAATAGTAAAAAAAAATGGCCCGGTCAGGAAGGGCTGAAAACCCTCTGGGGCTGAAGTGGTTAAATAAATTTTTTGCTTACTTTGTCTTTTTTAAATCAACTGTATTGATGACACGAGGGATGAACAACGTTCCATGTGATAGCTGTGCAGTGACCGGTACTCGTTACTGAATCTGTGGTCTAGATCCCGGATCTCTCCTCTGCCCACAAAAGCATCTGGTCAAACTGAGATCAGTTTGATGGGCACTGATCTGGTCCTGTGCACCCTGATTCCACTGGAGAACATGAGAATTGCGGCAGGGGGAGGTGCCACCTCGCTTGCCCTTTAAAAGTGATCGGGTGGCTTTAGAGGTGCAAATTTAGATACCAGGATTATGGTTGCGGCTGCGGCTATGATCGTGGTATAGGATGTCTGGGTATGTACTAAGGGTGGGAATTTTTTTTTTTTTTTTTATTGACCTGCACAATGCAGTAGACATGCATGTTGAGATCCTAAGTTGTTTCATTTATACAACACTTAAGAAGAGTTACCACACATAACCCTTACATATTCACTGCAAACTTGTTTAAAAAAGGCAGTTGACCAGTTAACATGTACCGCAAAATATGCGAACTATGATCATCCCTTTTTTCCCCAAGCAAGACTTTGCAACAAATATGTAAAGGTTAACATGTGACTACACCTCTTTATCTCATGTGTTGTATATATATAGAAGCCATCTAGGACCTGAACACACATACAGTATCTCCATTTCCACTGCACAGTGTCATTAAAAAGAGCAGGGATGAAGTTGCTGGATTAATCTTCTTGAATCATGCTCACAGTACTGTAATTCATATACTGTACTCAGCAGAAATGAGTACACCCCTTTTGAAAAGTAAGATTTTAATCATTATCTCAATGAACACAAGAACAATTACCAAAATTTTGACAAAGCTGAGTTTTATAGAACATTTGTTTAGCTTGAAAGTATTTCTTCACATCTGCCTAAAACTTTTGCACAGTAAAATACAGGAGTTAGACAAAAGGACACAATCCATTTTGCAGGTGTGATGACATTTCGTGTTGAAAGTGGCAGTGATGCAACATTCTTTTGCTTGTGTGCTGTGTGATGAGACACCTAGTTAACAGGTGAGAAGACTCACTTTTGACATTCACTGCGAGTGCTGCTAGTAATACAGAGTCACGTCAGAGCTTACAGAGCTTCAAAGAGAGCAAATTGTTGGTGCCCAATTAGCTGGTGCCTCTGTCACCAAAATTCCCAATTTATTTCCCGTGACGCGAGGTACAGTATCAAAGGTTATGGCAACATATATAGTATCTGGGAAAGCATCGTCTGATAAGCATAAGAGCAGTTGACATGGTAAACTGACCAAAAGAGACAAAAAAGACATTGTGCAGGATTGTGACCCAGAATAAGAAAACAACTGCTGCAAAAGTGACTGTAGTGCTCAATATCTGTCCTAAGCCAATGAGAAGTGAGAGAGCAGAGAGCTTTGGCTCTCAAGTACATCACTGGATCGGGATCGAGCTTATGTGAGTAAAGTGGGGGGCAGGAGCTGCACTCAGAAGGTTTTTTTACCTTCATGCACACAAAGCATGAATGTAAAAGAACCTTCTGCCTTTACAACCACTTTAAATAAAACAGATGAGACTGTGTCAACGTTAGCCTTGAAATGGAACTAAATGTAGAAAACGAAAAACTGCAAACAGGCAGGCAATGTCCCTTCTGCAATAAAATACACTTAACCTGCCTATTAACAATTCTCTGAGGAATGTCCACAGAGCTGTATATGCGCAGCTCTATTTACAATTCTAGCACAGTGACCAGGGATGTTTAATTCCTATCGCCCAACGCCCAGGATATTCAGTTCCAGGTGCTGGGCAAGACATTTGTTCTACATTTAACCCTGCTGTGGGCTACTCCAGTACTGGCAGAAGCAGAAGACAGAGAAGCCTGGCTTCTAGCCCGCAGTATAAAACCCTAACTGCTCTGCACATAACAGCAGAGGAAAGGGCTCGGGGGGGCGGGGCGGAGTAGTAGTGTTTCCTTCAGTGCGGTTGCCTTTCTGGGGGAGTACACAGTACATGGACTCCTATTCTCCTATCAAACATCCCTTTTTATATCCCAATGCATCGTATTACAGCCTGTTCTAGCCCCGCACTGTACTGCAGCTAATAATCCTCTGCAATGCAAAGCCAGCACTGTGAGTTTTGCTTCTGTTTCCACAAGACGTGCATACATACTTTCCTGACTTCCTATTGGCTGTCAGTCCCAGAACATTCATCCACTAATCCCCAACGTCCCCCTCTCCTACACTTATCCCCAATGTCCCGCCTCTCCCTCCACTAATCCTCAATATCCCCCTGCTCCCACAACTTATCCTCAATGTCCCACCTCCAATCCCACTTATCCCCAATGTCCCACCTCCAATCCCACTTATCCCCATGTCCCGCCTCCTCTCCCACTTATCCCCATGTCCCGCCTCCTCTCCCACTTATCCCAAATGTCCCGTCTCCTCTCCCACTTATCCCAAATCTCCCCCTCTTCCCCATTTATTCCCAATGTTCCTCCTCTTCCTCCACTTATCCCTAATGTCCCCCCTCTTCTCCAACTTATCTCTAATGCCCCCCTCTCCTCCCACTTATCCCCATTGTCCCCCTCTTCCCCTACTTATCCTCCCTTTCCCCCACTTATCTCCAATGTCTTCCCTCTCCCCGCACTTATGCCCAATATCCTTCCTTAATCACAAAAACCCCCCTCTCCCAGCACTTATCCACAATGTCCCCCTCTTCCCCCACTTATCCCCAATGTTCCTCTTCTTCTCCCACTTACCCCCAATGTTCCTCTTCTTCTCCCACTTATTCCCAATGTTCCCCCTCTTCTCCCACTTATCCCTATTGTTCCTTCTCTCCCTCCACTAATCCCCAATATCCCCCCTCTCCTCCACATTAGAAATTAGCACATTGCCTGCCCCCCCATTTAGCACCAATGCCCCATTAACTTTGCACCAATGTCACACCCTATCTCCCTCTTAGCAAAAATGCCCCCTCCCCACTTAACACTGAACTCCTACTGTACATTGTATCTGCTGTTCTGCAGCAGCCCCTTTATTTTTAAAGTATTTTATAATGCTTTAAAAAATAATGAAATTGTTTTTATGCAACAGTTAACTACCTACAAAGTGCTTAAACAGACAAAAAAGCAAAATAAAACTAATATTCGCTGTATCCACCCTTTGCTTTCAAAATAGCATTAATTCTTCTAGGTAAACTTGCACAAAGTTTTTTAAGGAGCTTAGCAGGTAGGTTGATACAGACATTGGATGGATTTAAGCTTCTCGTTAGCTTCTCTTTATGTAATCCAAGACAGATTTATAATTCTTGAGATCAGGGCTCTGTAGAGGCCATATCATCTCTTCTAAGGTTTGTTGTGCTTTTCACTGAAGAAAGTCTTCTATGGCTTTGGCTAAAGGTTTGGGGTCACAGAATGAATTTGGAACTGATCAGATGCCTCCCTAAAAGTAATCTAATAGTAAAAAAGATAAATACAGTGAAGGAAATATGTATTTGATCCCCTGCTGATTTTGAATGTTTGCCCACTCACAAAGAAATGATCAGTCTAAAAATTGAATGGTAGGTGTATTGTAACACTGAGAGACAGAATAGCAACAAAAAATTCAAAAGAAATGCATGTCTAACAAATTATGCACGGATTTGTATGTTCATGAGGGAAATAAGTATTTGATCCCCTATCATTTAGCAGGATTTCTGGCTACCAGGTGTCTTTCATACAGGTAACAAGCTGGGATTAGAAGCAGTCTCTTAAAGGGAGTGCTGCTAATCTCATGTTGTTACCTGTATAAAAGACACCTGTCTACAGGAGCAATCAAACAATCAGATTCCAAACTCTCCATCATAGCAAAGACCAAAGAGCTGTCCAAGGATGTCAGGAACAAGATTGTAGACCTACACAAGGCTGGATTGGGCTACCAAAGTATTGCCAAGCAGCTTGGTGAGAAGTGACAACAGTTGGTGCAACCATTGGCAAATGGAAGAAACACAAAACAACTGTCAGTCTCCCTAGATCTGGTGCACCATGCAAGATCTCACCTCGTGGAGTGTCAATGATCATGATAACAGTGAGGAATCATATCAGAACTACACGTGAGGATCTTGTCGATCTCCAGACAGCTGGGACCACAGTTACCAAGAAAACAATTGGTAACACTACGCCGCAAGGTCCCTCTGCTCAAGAAAGCACATGTCCAGGCTCATCTGAAGTTTGCCACTGAACATCTGAATGATGCAGAGGAGGACTGGTTGAAAGTGTTGTGGTCAGATGAGAAAAATCAAGATCTTTGGCATTAACTCACCATGTTTGGAGGAGGAGGAATGCTGCCTATGAACCAAAGCTTCTGCTTTGGGGGTGTTTTTCTGCTAAGGGAACAGGACAACTGCACCGCATCAAAGGGACAATGGACGGGGCAATGTACCGTCAAATCTTGGGTGACAACCTTCTTCCCTCAGCCAGGGCATTGAAAATGGGTCGTGTCCAGCATGACAATGACCCAAAACAATGCCAAGACAACAAAGGAATGGCTCAAGAAGAAGCACATTAAGGTCCTGGAGTGGTCTAGCCAGTCTCCAGACCTTAATCCGATTAAAAATCTGTGGAGGGAGCTGAAAGTAGCCAAACATCAGCCACCAAACCTTAATGACTTGGAGAGGATCTGCCAAGAGGAGTGGGCCAAAATCCCTTCTGAGATGTGTGCAAACCTGGTGGCCAACTACAGGAAACATCTGACCTCTGTCATTGCCAACAAGGAATTTGCCACAAAGTACTAAGTCATGTTTTGTTAAGGGGATCAAATACTTATTTCCCTCATGAACATGCAAATCAGTACATAATTTGTTAGACATGCATTTCTTTTGAATTTGTTGTTGCTATTCTGTCTCAGTGTTACAATACACCTTCCATTCGATTTTTAGACTGATCATTTCTTTGTGAGTGGGCAAACATTCAAAATCAGCAGGGGATCAAACACTTCTTTCCTTCACTGTATCTGCCTGCACTTTTCAGACCATTAACAATGAGAAAATCCCCAACTCCATAAGTAAAAATGCAGCCCTGAAAACCTGCAAGGAACATCTACCATGCTTCACTGTTGCCTGCAGACACTCATCCTTGTACCGCTCTCCAGGCATTCAGCAAACAAAATACATTTGGTTATAGACTCATTAGTCTAGAGCACCTTTTGCCATTTTTCAGCACACCGGTACATGGGATTTTCTGCACAGGCAAGTTGCAGCCTTATTTAGAGGTATTAAATTTTTAACAGCAAGTCTTCAGTGAAGAGCACTTCCCACCAGACCTTTTCAGACTGTAGATGGGTGTATGGGGGTGCCAATGGTTTCTGTCAGGGATGAGTTGATGGTGTCACTTGACATCTTGATATTGCAAATGGAAGTCAGCATAATGATTTTCATCTGCTGCACTAATATTCCTTGGCTGACCACTGCATTTTTGGTCCTCTGCATTGCTTTTTTTTTTTTTTGTGCTTCTAAAGCAGGCTTTGGACAGCACATCTGAAAACACCTTTCTTGAATATTTGCCTGTGAAACACCTTGTTGATGCAGTAAGTCTGCCTGCTGTACTTAGTCTTGCCACAGTATAAGGGTACAGCATGGCTTTTCTTTATGCATTTTCATTGTGTTCCCATTGCATTACTCTCCCAGGGACTGGGTGGGGTATGCTACATAAGCATAACAGGACACAATACCATTGTGGGAACACCAGGGAGGCTTCTGTCAAACTTTTACATACCTGTACCTCTGTGGTCTTGTGCCTTATGGCGTCTTCCTTCTCTCGAATGTCCTGCTCAAGAGCATATTTTTCTCTGTAAGACAAACAAATCAGAAAATCAGCTGTTTTCTGTTTATTTCTTGTTCAAATATTTTATTGTAAGGCAACAAGCCAGCATTACAGCATAACAACATTAGAGGTTACAGATTAATAGGTCAAAGTTTAGGGGTCAACAGGTAAACAGGTAAACCGTACAGTAGAAAAAATACATTGTACATCTTATATCTGGGAGGTACACAAGAATGGTGTGCAACCTTAATCAATGCGGTGACAAGCATTATCTTTACACAAGAGGATGTACCAATAAACGCAGTCTAAAAAATGGACACGGATTATTATGAAGTTGGCGCAAATATGAAATGTGGGTTTTTCACACAGTAAAGCAATTAAGGGGGTCGTAGTACGAGTGTGATTGTCCGCGTGACAGTGATAGGGATTAGGCGGTGAACACCTTGATTGACATGATCAAGGATGTGCCGTTAATGACCAGTCTAGAAATAAACGTGGTGTCTAAGGAAGGAGAAGATTATCGGGAGAGAGGAAAGAGGGTATAAGAAAGCTGGTGATGACGAGGGGTGTGAAGGGAGCAGAGGGAGTGGTTTGAGAGTATATATGAAAAGCATGAATGGGTGAGGAGTAACGGGGGGGGGGAGATGGTATGAGTAGCCAATAGGAAGCCATAGAGAGCAGTAGAATAGCTCCAAGGGAAGGCGCGGCCTTACTGTTGTGTTTAAACTAGGACCGATGGAGATCCTAACATAGGAGGAGTCAGGTGGAAAGAAGTATGTGCTCACTTTGTCTTGAAGAACTGCTTTGACCTTAGCGTGAATCAGGTCCTTGTAATCCTGTGTTTGACTTCTAAGATGTGGAGGTGAGGTTTTTTCCATGCTTTAGCGATGGTTTGTTTTGCTGCAGTCGTGACCTGCAGAAAGACTTTGACGTGTAAGCGGGACATGTCCGACGGTTTTCTGTTGAGAAGGGCTGTGGCTGGGTCTGGGGGTAAGGAGTAGGGGAGCATGGAGGAGAGAATACAGAAAATCTCTGTCCAGAAGGTGGTGGCCAGAGGGCAGTCCCATTAGATATGATAATGAGTGCCAATGTCGGAGCAGCCTCTAAAACAGGTGGAAAGGTAGGTAGGGAGAAATTTAGCTATCCGAGCGGGAACCATATGCCAGCGCCTGAGAACTTTATAATTTGTTTCTAAGGCCACTATGTTTTGTGAAGCTGATTTAGTATTTAACCAAATATCTTCCCAGTCAGAGGGATCAAGAGCTAGACCGAGATCTTTCTCCCATTTGTTGACGTATTGTATAGATGAAGGCGACGGCGGGGCCAAAAGGTGAGATTAGAGTGTGGATATTAGGCCTCGTGCGTGTGGGCCATTCTTGCAAGTCTGTTTGGTCATAGCAGGTGAAGTGGGGTTATTCCGCAGGTTGGGAGTGAGAAAGTGTTTAATTTGTAGGTATCAGAATATTTCAGACCCTGGAAGGCCATATGTTTCACTAAAATAAGGGATGATCTTGAAAACATATGGGGTCGTCAATCTGTGTGCCCTAGTAAAGCCATTTCGGAGCCAGTTGTGGAACGCGGAGGGGGATGTCCAGGCAGGTGGAGAAAGGACAAGCATAGGGTTGATATGCTTGGTGATTGGGTTTCGGATTGTGCGACGGTCTTGCAGGCGAAGCCACAATAAGTTTGCAACTGATAGTGGATCACAGTCTACGGCCTCTACAGCGACCCAGAGGGGGGTTTCGTGAACCGTGTGGTATTTAGGGATTTGAGCGAGGTGAGCTGCTCGATAGTATTTAGTGAAATTGGGAAGGCCTGGACCTCCTGATGTCTTAGAGGAGAAAAGAGTTGTCTTAGAGATTCGTGGTCTAATTTTGCCCCATATATAGGACTGGGTTCGGTGTTGGAGAATCCTGAGGTAGTAGGATGGGACAGGTATAGGAAGGACTCGAAAAAGATAGAGTATCTTGGGCAGGATGGACATTTTAACAACAATGATATGCCCCATCCATGCTATGGGCAAAGGAGACCAGGAAGTCATGAGGTCGGTTAAATGTGTCAACATAGGCGGGTAATTAGTGGGAAAAAGCGTGGACGGGTCGGCGGTAAGCTTGATGCCTAAGAAGGGGATATGGTGTGGGGACCAAAAGAACGGAAGGGAGTCTTGGAGTTGTGTGAGGGTGGAGGGAGGTATGAAGATTTTAAGTGCCTTAGATTTTTAGAGGTTGATCTGCAAACCAGAGATAGCAGAAAACCGTTCACATGTGGACAAAGGATTGAGGGCAGAGGTAAGTGTAGTCGTCATAATCAGGAGAATATCATCTGCAAAAGGGTTAGTTTGTGGTGGTGGGCTCCCAGCTCTAGTCCCTGGATGTTAGGGTTATTGTGTATTGATTGTGTGGAAGGTTCGATGGCTAAGCCAAAGAGGAGAGGGGACAGGGGGCAGCCTTGGTGAGTCCCGCGTTGGATCAGAAATGGGTCAGACTTGTGTCCTGTGTACTTCAGATAAGCTTTTGGCGAGACGTAAAGCGAGGTAACTCAGGTAAGGAAGTGTGGTCTGAAGCCCCATTTACGTATGGTGAATTTCAGATATGGCCAGGAGACCGTGTCAAAGGCTTTTTTGATATCAAGTGACACATAACATGTGGGTATATATCAATTCCTGGCTGTATGAGCAAGTAGGACTGCTCGTCAAACCCTGTCGTCAGATTGTTTCAAGGGGATAAAGCCCACTTGATCCTTATGTATGAGAGAACCTATAATCCTATTCAGGTGCGTGGACAGTATTTTTGCTAGGATCTTGATATCTATATTAACGAGGGAGAAGGTTCTGTAGTTTGACCAGGAGGTATCGTCAGAGTTGGGCTTAGGTAGCATTGTGATAATGGCTGAGAGGGAGTCTGGTCCAATGTTGTGACCATTCAGTAGAGAAAGGCCTTGGCCAGAAGCGGAGCTAGTAATCCGGCAAAGTGTTTAAGGTAGGGGGCTGTAAAACCATCTGGTCCCGAATGTTTATTAGATTTAAGAGATTTAATTGTATGAATGATTTCTAGCTCTGAGATTGGTTGTTCTAGAGATGTGTGTTGTGACGACGATAGTGTGGGAAGGCGGAGGTTGGGAAAAAAAGGCCTCAGCTTTAGGTTCTACAAATGTGGTTTTTGCAGAGTAGAGGTGTGCAAGGTGTTTGTGGAATACTCGAAGGATCTTTATAGGTCTACTTGTGTATGAGTCCTTAGCAGTTTTCAAGCGTATAGGTTTGCGTGGACGATCTAGGTTGCAGAGCGACAGGGCTAAGAAGGGTATCATATTTATTTGCTTTCATATAGTATCTGTGTCTGGACCTACGGAGTACTTTTTCAGCGGATTCAGTTAGGAAAAGAGCAAGATCCAGGCGGGCCTTCTCTTATGTCTGTTTGTGTGTGTGGGAGAGGGATCTGTATGAAAAGCTATGTAAGAGTCATCGAATGTTGCATCTAAATGTTTATGGAGTAGCCGTTTTTCCTTTAAGTGAGATGCCTGGCTAATGAACATCCCTCATAGTACCGGTTTAAAGGCCTCCCACAGTGTAACCAGTGAGATATCTGTGTATTATTATGAGTTAGGTATTCTTCAATCGCAACGTCTATCTGGGCCCGGTGTTCTGGGTGAGGCAACAGGGTATCGTTGAGGCACCAGGTAGAATCTTAGACCTGGGGACTAAAGAGTCTAGTGTTGTAATGACAGCGTTATGGTCCATCCAGGTATAGGGTTCGATCACGGAGGACAGTATGGTGGGTGACGAGCCGATAGTTATAAATATGTGGTCGATACGTGAGAAGGTGTTGTGTGGATGAGAAAAATGTTTGTATTGCCTTCTAGCTGGGTTGACCTCACGCAAGGAGCCGAGGAGAGAGTGCTGTTGGAGAAGGGATTGGAAGCTGCGTTTAGTAGGACTGGATATATCGGGAGCGGGGGATTTATCCAAAAATGGGTATATCACTTGATTGGAATCGCCACAAACGAGCAGAGTGCCCCGCTTGTGAGATTCAAATATAGTCAAAAGATGGGAGAGAAAGAGGGTCGGGTTATGGTTTGGAGCCTAGTAAGATACTACGGTAACTTCCTTATCAAGAAGGTGGGCAGATATTATGTCCTTCAGTGTCTTTGATTTCCGCTCGGAGGGTAAATGGAGTAAAACGATGAAACGCTATTAGCACTCCTCTATGTTTTTTTATCTGCCGAGGCTGTATATACTTGTGGGCAAAAAGCACTGAAGTATTTCAGACAGCAAGATTTAGTGAAATGTGTCCCATGCAAGCAGACTACATGAGCTTTGGCAGAGGAAAAAGATTGAAAGCTTTGGTTGGTTTGTGTGGTGAATTTAGACCTTGGACATTAAGGGTAAAGATATTCAGTGGGGCCATACTGATGGGAGGGTCTATGTAATTGAGCTAGGATAGGTCAGGTGGCAACCAACCCTCGGGCTAGGAAGATAGATAGAAAGTAAAGGAGACAGGTGGGGAGAGGGAAGGAGGTCAAGAGAGAAGATGGGGAAGGAGAAAAAAAAAAAAAAAAAAAAAGTCTCGTGGTGTTCTTAACAAATGGGAGTTAAGAGAAAACAGTACAAATCCGGCTAACCAGAATGGGCTGGAAACCCCAAATTGGGAGGCTAAACTTTGTCCTGGGAGGATCCCGTCTAGGGCTACCCGAGGGCAAGGTTGGGGGCAACAGTGACGGCCACTCCATGTCACAACGGCTGTAAGGTGTCATGATAAGTTATCAGACAAGCAATAGTTACAGCTGGGGCTTAAAACGATCCCTGGGAACAGGGCTGTAGGTGTGTGGTAGGTGATATGATGTATCGAGGAGGTTCTCAATGGGTGTGCATTTTGAGATATAATTTTATGAGGGGAAGAGCACCCTAAGGGTGGGGAGCATGTAGAATATTGGTGGGCTTGGACGCTCTGTACTTTGGGGATTGGGATTGGAGGAGGGATGTAGTAGGATCAAGCCTGGATTCGTAGGCTAACAAAAACCTGGTATGTGGTGGTTGTAACTTCCTTCAGGGAGTCGGAGTGTTAATCGCCTGTACAAGAAAAAGAGGGTAAAGAGTACATACAGGTAGGAACTAATGGTGATGGGTAAAGGGCAGCTGTGCAGGTGTGAGGGCCGTACCCAGCTACCCCTAAGCCGCGACTGAGTAAGTTGGTAGTAGCCATATATAAGCAAAGGATACAGCAAAAAAGCGGATGTAGCAGTGGATCTGCTAATATTCTTGTGTGTTCAGTAGTGCAGAGTCAATAACTGGAAACTCGTGCCCAACGTGGGCAAAATGGTAAACTACAAAAGATCCAGCAGTAAGTCATAGAAGAGGTAGGCCAAAAGTTCTTCCTAGCGTAGTCAGTCCATGGAGTCAAAGGGTTCGTGAGCTGGTGAGGCGAAACGACCTTGCTTGTTGGGGCCGCGTAGGTTAGACCTGCTGGCAGAGGGTTTTAGTGGAGAGCAAGAAGATGATCTGTGTCTGGGTCGATTCTCGATGAGTGGAGATGAGGGAGTCTCTAGATGGAGTTCTTGTAGGAAAGCCTGGAGTTCCCCTGAGGACTTGCAGGTATGCTTGGTTCCCTGAAATGCAAAGCGTAGACTAAAAGGGAAGCCCCAGGTATAGGCGATGCGGTGGCGTTGCAGGGTCAGTAATTGAAGTTTAAGGGCTTTATGCTTAGAGACAGTCAGTTGCGAGAGGCCTGTAAATAATTGGTAGCTGTGCCCTTGGAAGACAGATTCTCTCCGTCGTGCTGCTGATAAGAGTTGCTCTCTGGTGCAATAACAATGCAGCATAGTTATATCTCTTGGAGGGTCCTTTGGTTTGCACGGGGCCAAGGCCTGGTGAATCCGATCCATTTCAAGCCTCTCTACAGGAATAGAGGGAGCCAATTCCTGGAATAAGGCCGTGATTGTTGATTGGAGATCAATGATGGTTTCAGGGATGCCTCGTATCCTAATATTAGAGAGCCAGGCCCTGTTTTCGTGATCTTCTAGTTGAGATTGCAAACTATAATTTTCTTCTTTAAGGATCTCTAGTTCCTCCACATGGTTGTTCAGTGTGACTTCTAGGTCGTCGGTTTTTAGTTCTAGGTCTGAAGTAGGGTGGCCTAGTTCGCGGATCTCCCTAGAGAGGCGATCTGTGATTTGATCTGAAGTCTGTTGGAGTGCCTTATGCAGCATCTTCTCAAACTGTTTCAACAGGCCTGAATAGGGAGAAGCAGTTTGTGCTATAGGAGAGGAGGCTGTGGGATCTGTGTCCTAGTCAGGGTCAGCCCCTGCCCCACTGTTGTGGGAAGTCTGTTTGGGGGAGCGGGGTGAGCCCATGTGAGGAGATGGCAGCGCCGCCATTTTGGAGGAGGCCCACTCGAGCACCCCGCGGATGCTCTTTGACATCATTTTGGGCCCGGAACCCCCAGCGACCATCTTATGTGTTCCCGGGCGCTTACCAGGCATATGGGAGGATTGTGCCAACCCATCGTCAGTCCAGCTGCTGCTCTGATCGGCCATGCGAGCGGTGGTGGAGCGGAGCTCTAGACTGGCAAGTCCGGCTCAGGCGGCTCCGCACGTGCACCCCATTTTCAGTTTATTTCATGTGTAATTCAGCATATATACTGCAATCTACCAAAAACATTGAAATGTGTGTGTACACTTTTATATTATTGTATAAAGGAAAAAGGTAAGTTCTTTTTACTTTTTAAAAACTAGACAAATTTTTGTACTCCAGCAACAAGACAAAAAATGAATTCATCATGGACCACTGGCTTCACAATGTCTACCTCCTTGAGGAACCAAGCTATTACTGTGTGACCAGTGTTTGGAGGGTATAGCTCAATGGGGCACAGCATGGGCATATATCCCAGAGGTCCCCTGTTCTCCTTTAATATAAAAATACACAGTACATTTCATGACATTTAAATACAGCTGAAAGAATTATTCTACTAATTAAGAAAAACTAACAAAAGATATTTTCAGCAACAAACGCCGAAACTGATGCACTTTCCATTATAGAACTTCTACACCAGCAAATTAAAGAATGAAACCCTCCACCATGTAAAGAGGTATTAAACCCAAAAGCAAAAATGTATGGCATATATGGCAGCATACCAATCCATATACATGGTGGATGTGTTAGTTTTATTTTTGTTAGGCTTTATTTTCTTTTTATTTGCACTGGGCCAGTAAATCAGCTATTTTTTAAATTCCTTTAGTGCAGAACTAGACCCATCATTGAAAAAATTGTGAGCAAGCAGCACTTTATTGCAGAACAGATATGCTATGTGCATTCCTGGCCCACTTTGGCTGTGATGGAATGACTGACTTCTGTGTGGGATCAGGTCATGCCACGTCAGCCAATCAAGAGGTCATAAAATCTGACACCCGGGATGTAACCACTGCATCACTGGAAGGTCGAGGTATTTTGCAGAATCTAATTTTGCTTTAACAGACCAGGTTGTGTAGCAAAAGTGGCAGTTACAGGGTTGCGACAAACCATGTACCACTTACAGGGGTGCTAAAAATGGTCTGCTTTATGTACAACCTTTACCTCAAAAGGAGAAAAAAAAACAGTTTGCTGTAACTGCTTAAAAAGTGTTAGCTGGAGTTCAATGCTCTGTCCAAAGATTGTGTTGTGGTGGTGTGTGTGTGTGTGGGGGGGGGGGGGGGGGAGGGGTCGTGGGGGGCTGCCCTAACCACTTACCTGCCTCCTATCATGATCCAACGCTGTCCCAGCTGCAGCTCCGCTCTGCCCTCTTGCTGTTTTCACAAAAGGCACTGGCTGAGGTTGCTGTCAGTCAAACTGTGAGGAGGGAGTGTGGTCAGGGCTTACCGGGGCTGGGTGTGTTTTTGCATGCACACAGACCAAATTAGGGGTACACCCAAATGGGTGCCCACTCAGCAGGGTGCTGAGGGGCACTTGGAGGAGAGGAGGGGACAGTAACAAAGTGGGACTCCAGAAAAGGAGGTAAGAAACAGCTCTGTTCAATACCACTGCACAAAGCAGTTAAGTATAACCACTTTTATTTTAAAGAAAAAAAGAGTAACCTTTAACCAATTTAAGACTTTAGTGTTCGCCTTCCATGGATACATTCTTTCATGAGCACCTATTTGGTGTGAAATATCACAGTACAAATTAGCAAACAAATAGGGAATAAAGCAGTAAAAATATAGCAGTGGTGGTTTTATAGTAATCAGAACCTCTACAATATTACCACGTACCTCTGTAGCTGAGCAATCTCCTGACTGATTTCATCTAGCTCCTTTACCCCAGTAAATTCTCCAGATCCAACAGAGCTTGAGCTGTCCTAAGAAGAGAACACATCACTTTTCATTACCAAATTGTAATATTAACAAACACGGTATGTTCTACTTCTAAACGTGTACGTGTGTCGAGGGAAAGAGCAGAAAATATAGCATGTAAGCTATATTCGTAAGCTCATATCTTTGAAGGTCCTTGTAATACAATCAACATTGCCCTGCTAATGAAGTCAATTTAAAAAGCCTTATATGGCTAAAGCAAACATGAGCTTTAGCATAATGCAGCCTTTCTAGACAGAAGAAAAATGCCATGCAGGGTGATTTTTTTTTTTTTTTTTTAATGAAACTATGGAACATATCTCATATCACTCACTCCCTTAGTGGTCTACATGCTTATTCAAACCATTCCAGTTTTTCTATGACCGCCCACCTGTCATTTCCTGGGAGTATTATAAGAAACAGAAAGGACATAAATGATATATATGAACTAAGATAAAACTTTAACACATAACATTGCTAAACTCATTCTGCAGAACATTAGTATGGTGGATGTTTTGACACATGGGGCAAAAGCAGATGGTGCTCAAATGAATTAAAACGGGCACTAAAACTGACATAAAAGAGGGGGATGCCACACACACATCAAAATTTGTCTGGTCCCTACTTATTAGGTCAAATTTCGATCAGTGTATGACCAGCTCTAGTTTTCTTGTAAGACAGTCTCCTTTCAAAGAAAAACTTTGTTTTTAAGTCAACTTTAGCATTAAAACCACTGTGTGTGTGTGTATGTATATATATATATATATATATATATATATATATATATATATATATATATATATACACACACACACTTTTTTTTTTTTTTTTTTTTTTTTTAACAATCTTGGTTTTACAAATTCCACTTTTAATACATGACAAAGGACACTACTTGCCTAAGATCTGTGGTTCGTCTGACTAAAACAGACAGAGATATCTGATGAGGGATGAATCACTGCTCCAATTTAGTGGCATGAGCTATTAAGTATTGTAATAAAATGCTTTATATCAAAGAAAGCAAGGAAAACTTACAAAAAAAAATATACAGACTAATATATTCACCTGACTGAAAGTTTTTATTTTTTTAAGTTTAGCCCTGCACAAAACCCCCAATATATAACGGACAATGGCTTTTACAAGACTGTTCACCTAAATTAAAGGGAGGAATACTCCCCACATAACTCTCACTATACTCTCTAAAATAAGTTCCCCCCCCCCACAAAGTCTACATTCAGCTCTCTATTTTAACCTGTCAATTTTTACCTGGTCTGAAAAAAAAATTAGATCAACAAAGTCTATAGATTAATTTACTAAACTGTGGTTTAATACATGGAGCCAGGTAAACAAATTCTCAACAAGACTATAAGCACCTTTCATGTGGGATAATTGTAATTACTGCTCAGTTATACAATCAATCCTTTTAAAAACATGATTGTCAATAAAAAGGACTGGAAAGCTTATTTTGGAGCCGAAGAGAGAGGGGGGGGTGTTCTGTAGTCCTTAACACACATCTTGCCTTTGGTTGTGAACACTGTACCTCCATAGATGCAATACAGTGAGCAACCAGTTTCACCCTAAGAAGATGTTTGTTACTTGCAAGATCCTCAGATGGAAATAAAGGGAAAAAAATGAATCCACCACATCTAAGAATTGGCAAGCTGCATGTTATAAAATTTGTGTGCTTAGGTTTAGATGCACTTTAAATACAGTGCCCACTTTCTGGATCTGGTGAAATATCCAGCTCACTCCCTGGTATTTCCACTTCTTCTGTTAAATGCCAAGCTTTGAGCACGGTCACTAACTGTATAATGATATTTGTCATAAATATCTTTAGTTTCATTTTGGTTTCATGACTATAACAAACTTAGAAGACTACTTACTACTTGTCTAGTGGTGTATGCATCATGTTCCATGCAATACATCACCATTTTTTTTTTTAGAAACTTCTTGGTAAACATTGCCAACTTTTTGGGGCTAGTGGCATATGTTACCTGCTCTCTGGTAGGCATAAGTTCACTATTTGGTTTCCAACTAGCTTAAAAGCGGCATAACAACTTTCATTGTTTTGTTACAAAAGTTCACCTGCAGGAAAAATTATTCTGCAATATTCACACAGAAAAATGAGTCACTCTATGTTGCTGTTTTCACTAAAGCAAAACTGTCATGCAATGAATTCACCAAAAGAACCGCATGCCATTACTTTAGTATAGGTGGAAACACACTGGAATAAAAACTTTTACAGGTCTTTCCTTACGGAGGAAATATATACATAATCACACAGTAGGACATTTATCCCTCAATAATCAAAATAGTTTAAAAAAATTTGCAAATTTAAAAGACTAAGTGAACACAGTGTAAAGTAGCCTATGGGTGACAGCACTGAAGTGTGCATGCAGATACATATGGCATGCCAGGGAGGGACTACTAAACAAGGGTGTACTCACACGCCGTATTTCTGGCAAGCTTGTCATGTCGTTTCCTACAGGGGTCATGTAACCAGACAGGGTCTGGAGGAAAAGGGCAAGGAAGAAGCCACAGATGGAACATACAGAGCACATAACATAACATATTGAATAAACATACCAAAAGATAAAACCATCTATTCAATTTATATCCACCAGAAAGTTCATATAGCTGTAACTACACATTATTTACACAGTATTTTTCACTGAATGGTCCAGCATCCCAAAGCAAGGGCCATTGCAACAGGATAACAAACTCCCAACTGCTTTTTAGGCATAGCTTCAGCTGTTTGAATGTCTAGCTCACTACTACAAAACAGATATCACCCAGAAAGCTAATGAACCACTTGCCAAAATCATCTGAGCTGGACACATGCACAGTACACACTCCATTCAATTTTATTGAGAGTTTGTACTCTGTGATTATATGAGAGTAGAAATTCTCCACAGTATTGAATGCGCATGTGAGCCCAGCTCAAAAATTTTTGACAAAAGGCTTGGCAGTTTTCTGGTTGAGAATCCCCCTGGATCAGAGAAAACTAAAAACTGCAGGGTGGCTGGGAGTGGGGGATACTACAATATAGGTATAACTGCACCTACACTTTAGGTTTACATATCCACGTACACTTGCCATCAGAGTACAAATGCCTGGATTTAAGTAGTTTAATTGGGCTACATACCCTTCAATTCAAGGTCATCAATCAGAAAATCAATGTATATGTCTAAGTGTTAGCATTCAAACCTCTAAAATTTCTTCTATAGATGGATACAACTAAATTATGAAACCTTCCAGTTTTGAGAATGCTCAGAACTGCAAGGGTAGATGTTTGCCTAAGCAGGATTGAGTAGCAAATCAGAAAAGGCAAAACATGACTAGAAATATCACCAAAAAACCTCAAATATATAATTAAGATACTCTGAAGACAAAAGGCCCCCAAGAATGGAGAGCCCTCGGGAATAAGAGTCAAACTTCACATATACTGAGAAGAAAAGCTATATCTTGTCTCGAGCAAGGAGAGGTATGTAAGTAAATATTTTAAATTACATACAGCGAGTAAAATAAGTATTGAACACGTCACCGTTTTTCTCGATAAATATATTTCTAAAGGTGCTACTGACATGAAATTGTTAACACATGTCCATAACAACCCATGCAAAAAAAAAAAAAATACATAGAAAACAAAACAAATACATTTAGAAATTAAATTATGTGTAATAAAATGGAATAACAGGGAAAAAAGTATTGAATTTGCTAACTGAAATTAATTTAATACTTCATACAAAATCCTTTGTTGGTAATGACAGCTTCAAGACACCTCCTATATGAAGAAACCAGTCGCCTGCATTGCTCAGGTGTGATTTTGGCCCATTCTTCCACACAGTCTTCACATCTTGAAGGTTTCATGGGCCTCTATGAACTTTGATCTTTAGTTCTTTCCATAGATTTTCTATTGGATTCAAGTCACGTGATTGGCTGGGCCATTCTAGTAGCTTTATTTTCTCTCTTTGAAACCAATTAAGAGTTTATATGGCTTTGTGTTTTGGGATCATTGTCTTGCTGAAAGTTCACCCTCATTTCATCTTCATCATCCTGGTAGATGACAGCAGATTTTAATCAAGTATGTCTTGGTACATTTTTCCATTCATTCTTCCTTCAATGACATGAAGTTTGCCACTACCGTATGAAGAAAAATAGACCCACACCATGATGTTCCCACCTCCAAACTTAACTGTTGGTATGGTGTTTTTGGGGTGATGTGCAGTGCCATTTGACATCCAAACATGATTTGTGTTTTGGCATCCAAAGAGTTCAATTTTGGTCTCATCTGATTAGACTATAATTTTCTCAGTTTTTCAAAAGCTTGTCTAAATGTTGTGAAGCAAACTTTGAATGAGCTTCAGCATGCTTTTTCTTCAGCAATGGAGTCTTGCGTGGTGAGCATGCATACAGACCATGGTGTTTGAGTGCATTACTTACAGATTTCTTTGAAACAATTTTACGTGCTAATTCTAGGTCTTTCTGAAGCTCTCTACAAGTGGTCCTTGGCTCACGGACAACTCTTCTGATAATTCTTTTCACTCCTCTGTCAGAAATCTTGTGAGGAGTACCTGCTTGTGGCTGGTTTATGGTGAAATTATGTTCTTTCCACTTATTATGGATTATGGACTCAACAGTGCTCACTGGAACATTCAGAAGTTTAAAAATCTTCCTGTAACCAATGCCATCAATATGTTTTTCAACAATAAGGTTGCAAAGTTCTTGAAAGAGCTCTTTGCTTTTACCCATCATGAGACACCTATTTATAGGCCATCAGTTGAGAAGGACCAGCTGCACTAATAAGGGGCAGGATTGCTTTCTAATTACTGATAGATTTCAGCTGGTGTCTTGGCTTTCCATGCCTTTTTGCACCTTCCTTCCTTTATGTGTTCAATACTTTTTCTCTGTATCATTCCATTTTATTACACATAACTTAATTTCTGAACTTATTTGTTTTGGTTTCTTCATATGTATGGGTTGCATGGGTAGTTACCGACATTTGGTAAAA